GCCCAGCTGAACGGGGGTGTCGTCAACGGCGCGCTCCAGCCCCAGGACCAAAACCAGTTACCAAAGTACCACAAGAGCTACCAGGGGGTCGCGGGCAGCCAGGGGCAGCAGCAGCAGCAGCAGACCTACGGCCCTGGGCGGGGGTCGCCGTCGGCCTCTGCCGCCAACCTCAACAGCTCGCACCCGAGGCTCAACGCCGGCCGCCCCGAGCCCTTCTCGACGTTCGCCTCGCCGCACGCCAGCAGCGAGCGGCTCGAGGCTGGCACCGACCGGGGCCCAGACCGGGGCTCCGACGGCGTGACCAGCTTCATGTCCAACGGCGGCAACCTCAACCGGGCGCACGGCCGGCTGCAGCTGCCCCCTGGCGGCGCGGGGAGCCCGCACGGCAGCAGGTACGTCATGGCGCACCAGGGTGGAAAGGGCCAACACGGCATAACTAACCATACCCTCCTACCACCGACCCCCAATCCCGCCTTGGGTGCTACTGCACTGCACTGGTTGGCCCCGGCACCAAAGTCGTTCTTTTCAATTGAAATACTAACAGTTTAGCTTCTTAGTTATCAACATCCAAATCATCACTTAATTTATCTATTTCTAATCCCTAAATTTTTCGGTGTACGATAAGCTTATGACTCTTTATCCCACTCGCCGCACCTGGTGGCTGGTTCGCCCCGTCAAGATTTGATTTGCACAACGCCACTGACCACCGTGGCACCCTAAAGATCGTCCGGAAAGTACGCCGGTTCATTCGCCTAACTACGGGAGCTTGACGCCTGCGAGGCTCAGCGTAGGCCGCCCCGCACAACACGTATGCACTGCAGGCAAGATGTTGCCTACCCACCAGGCGCTATGATCGCTTGCACACGCTGAACTTGGCAGTTTCGTATCGGTGAATAGAGAGCGTACTTTTCGGATGATTCCGTTCGGCCAGAGCGAGTAGACAACCGCTTACTCGCTGACCCGTGGTCAGGCCGTAAGTTTAGCTCGACGGGTCAAGTCGGTCAGCGAGTTGACCGGCCTCCTTGTGTTCGTGCCACGCGAAGCCCCAACCAACCCACATGGACCTAACTGGTGCACCTTCTTCTTGAGCCCCTCTGTCCTCCGCCACCCTCCTCAAGCTCGCTGTACATGTTTGCCTTGCCTTCTTGTAGGCTGTGGGATGAGGTAAAGCCTTCAGGTGGGCGGGCCGCGAGCGCTTCGGTGGGCGGCAGTGGCGGCGGCTCCTCTGGCCGGGGGTCGTCGGCGTCCTCGTCCCCCGCCGGCCTCCCCGTGTCGTCCAACCACCTGCACCACAACCAGCTGCACCACTTCGGGCACCGCGGCAGCGGCGGCAGCAGCGGCAGCAGGCGGGGCAGCGCCTCGCCCTCGCCCCTGCCGCCCATAGTCACTCCGCACGGCGTCACCTTCCAGCAGGCCGTCAACAACAACAACGGCTTTGTCGTTGGCCAGCACCGCGCCGGCCAGCTGGCAGCCCAGTCGGCCAGCCAGTCGGCAGGCAGGCAGCCCAGCTCCAGCAGGGGTAGGACAGGGCCGCTGTACTTCCAGCAGCAGCAGCAGCAGCTATTGCAATCAGCAGCGCTTAGGAAATCAGTGCAGAATGAGAGCGTAAGTTAAAGTGTTGGCACGTGGTGCCACTGCGCATCATTTGTTCCCTGTAAGGACATACTACTGGGATCGACCGGTGGGGAACTGTATCTATTGGGTGCTGTTACGAGACAGGACCATTTCTTTGCAAAGGAACTGTCCTCGCTTTGCTCAGCATGCTTATTGCCTACTTACTTGCGGCACGCTTCCTGCCTACAGTAGCCTTCCGGCATGTGTATACTCTGACATCGCAGAAGTTTACAAAGTAATTTTTTCCACAATACAGCGTAACGGGTGTTTTCTGAAACACCCGGCACATACTGTAGACGGCTCAAATGATGACCGACCACCTGGGAAATACGTTTCTATTGGCATAAAACCTCCTTTAATGTCACTTTATTATATTTTTGGATATACAATAAATGTCACTGAAGCAAGCAAAGCAGTCTTAGTAAGTTTTATGCAATTCAAGAAGCTGCTTTCGTAAAGCTACAAAAAAAATGATAACATTGAAGAATTGATTTTATCTTAAGCTCTTATTTTGTACGTCAAAATAAACATATGCTAATAAGTTAATCAACGTCATTTCGTGGTACATTTCAAAATTAAAAAAAAAAAGCATTTTGCACTATTATAATTCCCGATTTGTACTCCAAATATTCTCTGTCAATCCAAATGTGTACATTGTACACATTTGGATTGACAGAGTTTGAGGGGGTGGGGGTTGGGGGTTGCTTAAACATTTTATGCCAAAAGAAACCCACCATTTTACTGTTGAAGTCTTTTAAATATTTAAATTTTAAGTCAAACGCCTAACAGTGTGCACCCGAGAGTTCAACACCAGTTGCACACTTTTATTTTCAGTGTAAGTCCGACGGCTCGACATGAAGTAATGGTTGATTGTTTGTCTGGCGCAGGGGGGCGTCCAAGGTGTGACAGTCCAGAACGCTGCCTACTACTCGATGCAGGCGAGTGACCCCATGCTGAACGGCAACGACCCCTCGTACCGACCCTCCACGACCCGCGGAGCTCTCCTCAACGGCGGCGGCGTGTCAGAGACCCGCACGGAGCTCTGACACGGGGGGTTGCAGCGTGACGCCAATCACTCTGCAACGTCACTACGGCGGGCCGTGTCGGGACCTCGGCGCTCGGCCGTCCGAAAGTGCCCGTCCTTCGAGTTTCTGGACCACTAAGGGTGGCAGACACCCATCATGGCATCCCGTGACAGAACTTGAGTGATTCAATATTAAATCATTCGAAAGTGATGTTGTTTCCAGTTTCAAAATTGTCCCAATGGTCAAGCGGCATTAAGGGAGGTATCGCGTTGAGTGCGGCATGACCAGTATGTGGTCACGCTCCCATGTAAAACTGCAGGCGCAGTGCCCCGCACTCAAAGAGTAAGACTGTGTTTGAAACCGAACATTCTAAAAAAAGCAAAGTCAGTCAAAAGGATGGGTGATGATTGTTGTACATATTTGTTTAAGTAGTCAATTCAATTTCTTAAAATATTTCAAAAGTCAGTATTTATTTGTACTTTTCCTCTTTAGTTTTTAATTTTTTTATACTGTTTGTAATGGAACTGTATATATTAGATAATTGAGTTGCATGGAATTTGTATTGTCCAACTGTATAATTGTTGATTATTTCTGAAAAGCTATTTATTTGTAATTGTTTTTTCGTCATGAACTGTGTAGTTTGATACGGAACCCTCTAACAACACATAATTGGTATGCCATGTGTCATATTATTTATATTACAGCCTCTGTTGACTTCACAATTTCTGTAAAATCCTCACAAACTTTTAAGTTAAACTTTTAATACCATAGAGAAATTTGCTTTGATCAATTTGACGTATAACTTAAATATGTATTTATGTTTTTCCTATAAGGCCAAAGAGAATAATAAATGTACAGAATTTGCTTGAAAATGAAATCTTATTTGATAGTCTTTCTCCTCAAACCCAGCAATATGATGAGTCTTCAAGAAAAAACATTGTGTTTGACTGTTTTAAGTAGCAAGAAAGGTGAAAATATCGTGTGTCCGGGAGAATACGCGGCAGCTCGATGGGTTGCCTATGCACTGGTGTGCAGGCGCGTAGGGCGAGGGGGAGAGGAGTAGGTGGCGAGAGTAGGGAGCCTAGGCGAGAGGCAACCGGGCAACCGGCCGTCTCCCGCCAGGTCTCCTACTCCCCCCTCGTCCTTTGCGCCGGCTCGCCAGTGCGTAGGCAACCCATCGAGCTGCCGCGTATTCTCCCAGACACCCGGTGACGGGTGTGACTTAAGGCGCTGCACAAAAACCATTAAATGGACAAACTGTTGGGATGCCTTTCAAAATTTATTAAAAGCATTACACAATTTTAATGGTATTTTGGAGGAAACCAAGTGAAGGAAGGTGCCGAGGAAAAAAGACAAAATTACTTTCACACGACTTTTATTTGACATCAACTTACTGTCTTGTCATAGTCTCCGATATAACTGACTTATTCTTTGAAGTCCTTGTGTGCAAATAAGTGACGAGAAGAAGAGATTTTCATGCCAACTAGAGGGGCCAAATGCTGCTTCCTGGGTATCTGCAATTAAAAGAAAGTCAAAATTAATACGAGGTTTAAAAATTTAAAACAAAATATTTGAACAGACCTGCTAAGCTGAAATACATTTTTACCTTTCGTACGCGCTACGGCAGATAATCAACACCACAAGACCGCAGGTCTTCACAGCAGATCTTCACCACAAGTGTTCACGTTCGTTCGGCTTCGTGGAGTTCTTCCAGGATTGTTGCAGATTCTTCTGGCGCATCTTTTACTCGTACAGAAAAAGGCCCAGCCCGGCCCCCTAAAAAGAATAACAAAGTAAACAAGCAATGATACATAGTTAAGTAAAGTACTATTAATTTCAGTTGTGTATAATGTATCATCTGCTAAAAAACATCTAATACACGATGATGGCATGAGTACAAGCTCGGGGCAAGTCGTTCAAAAAACAATGCAACAATGCAATAAGGAACAAAATTTGGCCGACGTTAAATTTTGTTTTTTATTACATTGTTGCATAGTTTTCAGTCGGATTAACATAACCACGTTCGGTCCTCTAGAAATTTGAAGGTGGGCCGGGCCGACCAGTGTGTGTGCGTGTGTGGGGGGGAGGGGGGGGAACTATTCCCCCGCGGTCGGGGTGCGGCCACGTGGGCGCTCGCTCACGGCGGGAATACCCCGCGCAGACTGAGTCTCTTTCTGCCGATACACTTTCCGCATACAGTAGTATACTCCTTGGCCATGCGGTTGGGATACCCCGGGCACGGGGCACGGAGGAGGGCCGACGGAGGGTCGGCTATGCATAGAAAAACAACTAGAGAAAACAGCGGGGAAAGTCGAAGTGTTGCTTACTTGTTGCGGTGAAATAGGTGTAACTAGAAATGCGATGAATTACATGGTGGACCCCGGATACACCCCGCAGGGACAGCACCGACCCGGATAGCACCGACGATTCCCTCGCCGAGGCCGATCGTCAGGAGCTGGAGGCGCCCTGCCGCCCCAGTGACCATCGCGTGGACTATAATTATCCGGTCCGCCGTTGTTACTTCTGCTTCTCCGCTACACACCTTCGGAAGGACTGCTACGGTGCAACTTCGCACCTGCGGCGGGACTGGCGCAAGTTCCGGCTGTACTAGGACCCGTCGGAATGGTACCGCCGTTGCAGGAGATAGCGGCGATTCGCGTCTGTCACCTGTTGGTGCAGGCCCATGCCCCTCCTGCTGCTTGGGCCTCCCTATACTGCCACCCGGGCCTAGCGGCGGTATTTGAGCACGCATGGGCGTGCCATCGTGACTCGACGCCGCACATAACTTACAATTACTCGACGCAATGGTTGACCCTCGACATTCGGGACTGCGGGGGCTCTTGGGCTCCCCTGCAGCCACGGACAGAAACGATACTCGGACGCAACGGACGCCGCGCAGAGCGCCGGCTCCATCGTTTCTTATCACACATCTGCAGGACTGCGCGGGCGCCAGACACTTTAATTTTACGTTTACGGACGGACACTTATACTCTCTCCCTGCCGGGGTATACGCCCTCCTGCCGCACATATTGGTCCTTTGACAGCCTATCCAATGATGTGCGGTGGTACTTTCGCCGATATCGGAAGGACTAATTTGTCTTCCTTCCACAGGCTGACATGGCTTCGTTTTGGGCGCTTCTCCTGTTGGGCTGTACGGTGCAGCTCGCCCTGGCGGCGAGGCGTGGCCCACCCCATATCATGGGCCACAACGAGGTGTACACCAAGGCATCCATCGAGGCAGCGGGCCAGCTGAACAGCGGCGCCATCTTCGTGAAGGAGGGGGACTTCTTCCTCTCCATCAGTGAATGGGTGCTGCTGCTGCCGATGAAACGCGTCGATGGGTATGTCACCCACCTTCTCGGTCTGGAGAACAACCTCAAGGCCCTACTGCAGGTCCCCTCAGCCTCTGAGCAAATCAAACACGAGGTGACCGGGATCCTGGTTGAATCGGCCGGGATTAAGAAGGAGATTGAGAACTTCCAACTCTCCGTGCCGGTGGTCTCCACGACTACCACCACCACCACTACACCGTCGTCAGCCCCAGCACAACCGGCGGCTGGTCGCAGTCGGCGGCGATCTGCCAGCCCTCAGCACCCACTGAGCGCCTTCTCCCAGTTTCGCAACGCCTCTACCTACAGCCGTCACCTTTATTTTCTACTGTTTGTGGGAGGGTAGCTCTATTGACATTGACAAGTATCGCAACGTGTTTGTTTCATTTTAAATGGATGAATTAGTGCTGGCCTTTCAAAAGCTTAGTCTCTACGACCCACCACCGCAAGTGATGGCAATCACCTTTTACATACGCGAAAATAATGTCTTAGAAGTGGCAATGTCGTGTAGCTCGTGGGAGTTGCGATATCCATTGGTTTTCCACATTTTCCCCAAAAGAGACAATAAAAATCTTGGCTTTGAATTTTGGAATATTGTCCAGGATCAGATGGTTGACCTAATTGCTATGTCGGGGGCGAAGATGGTCTTTACTTATGGGGCAGAAGAATTTGCCATACTGCAAAAAATCATTGCTGGGAATCGACGAAGTGTGTC